ACATTACCGATGTATACTTACACAATCGTCCCCTGCCACGATGTACATGCACCACTTTCTGTTTACGAAGCTAATAATTTAAACATGTGCCAGGTGACGTTGGAAATTTCGTTTTCGTACAGGTACACAGGTTGAATATTGCTTTTCTCTGAATTTGATTTCAAGTCGTATTCCTATGAATAAAATGTTATAGTGCACATGGTTGTAAGTTAACAATACAACTTTCATAAGTGTATTATATACTGGAAGGCTAGTGTAACATGCTACTAGCTTTAAATTTTGGTGTCATTTGTTTGTTACGTATAGCTACTTTTATTTTAACACTAAGAACAAACAAGTTCGTCGAAATGATTAATTTCCAATATCATTATTTTATAACTACTGAAATTTTAAAGGAGCATTTTTCGGAATTTATGTTGACTTTTAATTTATTTTTTATTTATATTATATATGATACGTGTGAATATATTATATAATTTATTTGAGCATGCATTCAACGCTAGTAGTTCTAAATAGTGTTTGTGTAGGCACTACGTCATAGCAAATGTCCAGAACGGTTTCAGAATCAATGGAGCTTTACACACTTGAATAATTTCAGGCGAATCATAACATATATTTTTATATAATATGTATATACTTTTTGGAGTACCAGTCAAAAGCTGAGTTTCAGGGGTACACTTGTATTGTCGTATTTGAAATAGGGATGCTATTAATATTAAATTGAAAAACTACATAGTACATAGAGCGGAATATAAAATATAGGACATCATCGTTGATTTATTCAACTTCAGCAAAAATATATTATTATTTTTGAATAATAAATAAAATAGTCATTAACTTCATTTTAACAAACTTTTAAAAAATAATAATATTATTTTAAAATCGCAATAACATAACATGATTAAAATTCCCTAACATGTGTTTTCGAATCCATGAATACTTGGATCCCTGTTCGATACAGGCTCCACAAGTTTTGGGCTTTTTTGCAACGAATACTTTGCCACATTTAATATACCATTTCCAGTAACTTATTCCCATTTCTATATTCCTTGGCTTTTAAATTCTACTTTAAATAATTCCAAAGGGTGTCAATAGAATGTAAATCCATACTTGCAATCAGGGATTGTCATTCCACTATAGAAATTTCTTTGTATATCAGACAACTTTAGATAACGCGAAAAATATGTTTGTGGTCGTTATTCAGTTATCTGCGATATTTTGCAATGTTTCTGGCAGTTTTGACGTCTGTAAAATATTAACTCAATCATTTTTGTTCACAGTTATTTACCCAACACAATAGTAAGTGTTCACGGCATTTTGTTCGAATACATTTGTCCAGTTTTGTGAATTTCATTACAATGTTTGAACATATTGTATTTGTGTAGAGCATAATGGGAACTTTCAAGTTTAGATCACAATCATTCCATTATTTCTCTTCCAGCAAGTTTTCACATTGTTCACTTACGAAACAACACAAATCCATTGAAACTTGATGCTTCAATTAAAAATGACCTGCTATATATTTCATTTAATACACTTTTGATACTATGAAATTCAAGGCCCTGATTGGATAGGAAATTGCATGAAAATTAAAATTTCTATACAATTAAATCTTTACACGATTCTGAGTATATTTTTTAAGTAATCTGGGCTGATATTAAATACTGCATGAAGTAGAATGTATAAAAAAATATTCTGCAGAAATAAATTTTTTAATATTGTGTATTCACAACCTCGTTAGTATTTATATTCATGTAAATTATATTCTTTTTGGTCGAGTATAAACTATTCAACCATAATATATTGTACAATAACACTGTAGTAATAAAATTAGAATTTTCCTAAACTAATTACAACTGTATTTTACCTGTACCTATGTGAAAACAGATCAATGTCTAAGTATACATATAAGCGAGAATGGTGGTTGATATATATTCAGTGTGACGAGTATCGTCCATTCATCCGTACTCGCCAAGGTGTCCATTGCATGACCTCGATAACTGCTATCGTATTACACACCTCATGAAGACCCTTCTCCGGCAAGTTACTTACTTTAAATTGTGAGTATACTTGTATGTTCAGAGACATTTTATAATTCATTAAAAGATTCATCTGTATTATATCACGGTCTATACCCACGTGCTACAAAATTATTTTATAGGACATTTACGTGATCTACATTTCTACCAATGAGTAACGAAAATATTTACCATTTTTTTATTTATATTTAAAAAATATATGGTATTGTGTTGATTTATTGAAACATTAATTAGGTAAAATGTTTATACGAAAAGTTATCGAAATACTATTTGGAGAAAAGTATAAACCAAACATTTACGCAGGTATTATTGTAACTTAGACTGCAGCTTATTATGCAATTTCACAGTCTTAAACACAAACACACATATGTATTTGGAATAGTGAAAATTGAACAGAATTTAATTTCCTGTACTGGAAGTTTTACTATGTTCGTAGTGACACATGAAGAGTATTGAACTTTATTATCATTTTTATTTTAGTACATTTTGTAGATTATGAAATTTTATAAATGTATAGACATCTGCAGTTTAATCACAACTTTGAATAATCATATGATTAAATGTATATTAGCGTGTGTTAAATAAGCTGTAAACAGTATCGCAGTATACAAAGATAGATTTTGTCTACGTTGAAAATTATCGAACTCAACCATTATATCAAAACATGTAATTTTTACAACGAAATAATTAAAAAAACCATTTACAATAAAATAAGTAGTTTTACCATTAGTTTTGTAATTTATTGTTCTTGAATCCGCCTGTCGTTATTAAGTATTATACTGTATTAATTAAAAGTAAATACTTCATTTCACGATAATCATAATTACATTTTATATAAAGTACTCAATATAAATTGTCTAATTTAATTTTTACAACAACTGTAGAAATTCTCTCCGAAAAATAGGAAAACGAACAACTCAATGTGTACTATTGACACTATATACAAGTAAAAAGTGACAGTAGGGTGGTAAACAAATGAATATATCTAATGTTCATAAACATAAATTTTGATTTAATATTTCTTATTTTCAATGCTAAATGAAAGAACCTGCGGAAGATTTGCAAATTGTAACTGCATGAAAGCTTGAGAAGAATAGGTATAGAAAATTATTATGCCAAAGCAAGTCTGCATACATGTATAAAAACGAACTGTGAAGTAAATTCCAATTATAAAATAATGCATCGAAGAATATATGGCAAGATCCCATTATTATGGTGTACCTAGATTAATTTTAATTATTTCTTTTAGTTTGAAAGTACCTAATTTCATGATGTAAGAAGCATATTGTTACGGTTCTAAGAAATAATGTGAAATATTGTTTAAAATGAAACTCACAACAGTAACGGCAAGGTGCCCTCATTATCTGTTATGAACGAAAAACAGGACTGAGATTTCATAATGTCATTGTGTTATGTGGGACAGGTGAAAAATGATTACGATAATGTCCTTAGACAGCATTCGAGATTGCGTCACGAATATTAGTCGTTAATTATTACAATAATTGCAGAATGGTGACAAAAATTGAGGACACTGATACTCGGCGTCTACAATGTCGGTATATGGATTGTGTATAACAATTTCTATTTCATGAAAGCAAAAAATTGAACAATATGCAATATTATCCTACTAATACTTAGCTGATTGTAAGTAAGTTTTTGTTACGACTATAACAAAAATCTTCAAATATTATTCAAAACTATACAAAGTTTACTTACATAATTAAAAATAACAGTAAACAGTTGTAGAATATAAGTAATTGCAATTTTGATGTTTACCATCAATATGTTATACAAAAATAAATATTGATTTGTCTATTAAAACTTTTAATATATGGTATGAATATCTTTGAGTAACTATATTGACAACAATGGCGAGTTTTTCGTAACAAAAATTGTGTGTATATAGTTATACTAATCTATAATAAAACAATACACTATATTGAACAGCACCTGAAATGTTTTATTTCATAATAGCAATGCAGCTTTCTTTATAAAAGATATATTGTTTTGTCTTCATACGTCTACTTAATTTTCATTAACCTCAAACACACGCGTTCCATTTGTTTAGAATCAATTTCTGTTTGATTATTTACTACTGAATAAGAACTATATTTACTTCTCAAAGTTATTACACACTTCTACTTAATCCGTTTCCCAAAGTTAATGCACACTGCTATTTAATTCGAACAGATAACGATTGAAAAACAGAATTTCTTTGTTTGTTTGCAGAGAAATCAAATAGCTTTCTCTGTCCAATTATGTTTTTCCATCGTCGATTAACTTCTGCGGTACCCACTTATTCATTCCCTTCACTGTACCAATTTTTGTTAAATGACAAACCACTGTAGAAAGCTGATCACAATCCTAGAAAAACCAACTTCATTTGCAAGGCTATCTTACCTACAGCTTAAATTAGACTACTTTCAACTCCATCTATTATCTCTTAATATATCAATCACACTTATTTACCACAATTTTTTACTCTGCTACCACAATTTTTAATTTTCGTTGTCTCACTTACTAGTGCCCTACAAAATTTCAGAATGTGACAGAAAGTTATCCAGAGATAAATAAGTGTAGAAACAACTTTTTCATCTATCGTCATCAGAATTAAAATTTTAATTACACATCTCAATTTCCAAATTAACAGAATTTTCCACAGTTTTCCCATTAGATGTGTTATTAAAAGAATTTCGAAGGTTGCAATCCAATCGCACGCTAGCAAACTTTAAGTAGTGATTCAATATGACAAGTCTTAATTGCATTTCAGGAAATTCGCGAAATTCTGCACTAACGTAAATCGCCGAGGCGCATTCCTCGTGATAGACGTGTTACTAATCGCTGTCGGGAAATAAAATTGCTCCGTAACTTCTCAAAAATTGCGAACAATCGAGTTTTCAAAACTTTTTCCACGAGAAACGAAGTGTAAAACTTTTTCGACTTTAATTGAGGAATACTTACGATTTTCACGATGCTTTCGTAATGGAAGCATTAATTCATCATATTGTTGATACTTTTTTTTCGAATACACCGAAGTCTAGTATTTGCACATGTTACTGTTTAATTCACGTCCATTCTTTTGTTACGAATCGTTCTTGAATGTCACATGCGTAACAAATTGTTTTTCCTATACTTTCACTGGTAACATGTCACTTGGTTCGAAAGCCACAATTTGTTTCACTACCGGTTTTATTTAAAAAAAAAAGGAATACACAATCACGTTGTTGAAACATAAAGTTGGTTTCCAACGGTAAAACATTTTATTGAAAACAATTTCTCAAGTGTCATACGACGCGTAAGAAACACGAGATTTTATTCAAGCAGCCTTGTTTCGTTGCTCCGCGCGGACTGTCAGCACGTTACTGATAAACTGCGGTCTAGACGAGCGTGTTCACCTGGCCAGGTGAGCTCCACGCGTTAAACGGAATATGGCCCATGGCAATACTTCTGATTTGTCTGAGATAATTGACCACCGTTTTCACTTTGTTTACAAGCGCTACAAATTTCGAAAAGATCGTAGGACCAATTAAGCCTTCGGTTCATATACAGAAATTTTCAAACATTTCAAACGGTTCGTAATCGTGTACATTTAACAATGAGGATATAAGCACATGCAATATAATTCTTACAAACGTTTAGACACTTAGACATCGATGTTAAATTCTAACGACTTTTCAATTTTTTTCCAATAGTACAGAATCTAGGAAATGAAAGAACGTTGGTGAAACTGAAATCTTTGTCTTACAAATATTGATATGCGATTTGAAGAACAATATGCAAGTCGAAATTGTAATGTCCACTGTTATCCACGATAGAGCATCGACTGTGAAGTGAATCAAAATACAGAGCCAGTCACCTGTTCAGGTGTGCTCACGACAGCAAACTGAAAGCAATACCGAGACACCGCGGGGAGATCGGTGCCTGGTGTTCGTTCTGCGGCGTGAGCACTAACCGTACGCCGACACCACAAAACGTACGGTGGTTCGCAGTTAAATTCAGCCCGTCGTGTTCCCCGAGGCGTGTGCCGATGGATTTCCCCTCTTCCTATTCTCTGGTCACCTGACTTCGACATTCGTTGACAAATGTTGTGTTTTTGCTTGAAGAGGATAATTGTTGCTTGAGAAATGAACTTTATGAAATTTTACATCTAATAAATGTCACCGTAAGGTTAATATGGCAAGTTTTTTTATTTATATTTCCTCTGTTTATATTTCTTCCTTTCGTTTTCTCAGGTTAGCTGTACGTAGCCATACGCTGGCGAAGGTTGCGCTTCTACTTGAGGTGTCTTTCATAAATTAGATAATTGTTGATAGAACAATGAACTTTATGAGTTTTACGTATAACAATAGTCACCGTGGTGTTCACATAGAAACTTTTTTTATTCTGTAACCGATGCAATTTGACTTGTCTGCAATAAAGTGTGCACAATCTACCGTAGAAACATTATATATATATAAGTTTTTTAATAAATAATGGTCCACTTCAGCCGACATTTTCAGTTCGTGTAATTTTCCGTACAGTTGAAGTATTAAATAATTTCGCGTTAGTGATAGAACATTTTTCAAATGCGCCTTGTTAAAAACGTCATATAGAAATAATATTATTTATATGCAGCTTTTTTAAAGAATAAAAATGTTCTTTTATCACTTTTAAGTGACTTGCAAGAGTATAAGGTGTACTGTGGTTTGCCTCAAAACGATAAATTATCATAAAGAAAAACATTGTAAAATTTAATAGGCTGTATCTTTCGCTTCCTTTTCCTCCATAATTATAATTTCCCTTTTTTCAGTAAAGGTGCATATTTTTCATAGGCATAGGTGCATATATCACAGCAACACCACATTGTCTAGTGCATAATTTTTACTTTCATATACACAACAGATTGTAATTATACATATTAGAACATTTCTACGTCAACAACTATTAGCATATACACCACAAGTGAGAAAATATTATAGTCTTAGAGTGCTATATGCTTTTTGCCAAAAACAGTGTCACTATAAATAAATCATTCGCAAATATACTGTAACAATCACAGATGCATTGCAACTAGAATATTTTATGTATAATTACTAAAACATATTTTGTGTATATAATGAAGCAGTTCACTCATAAGTTAGTACACCGTTTATGGAAATTATTTTTATTAATACGAATAAAAGATTTACGAGTGAAGATACACTGTTCCGATTGATAAAATATTATGTTAACGCTTTCTGTATTGGTCTTGTGAACGTATGTAAATTGGCGGAAATAGTATGAGTTCTTCGTAGCAGCGGTAATTTAAATTTTTTTTAGCATTGCATATAACATTGTGCGTTGTTGACAATGTTGCAAACATGTGACTTTGGCAAAATTGTTTTAACTGGATATAAAATTCGGCATTAGAAGACCAAAAAACTGCATTCATTTTAATCAGGACAACCTGCCTTGTGCACTATCAAATTTCGTCAAAATATAATGAGAAATAAGAAAATTTGTATTGCTTTAATGCATCTTAAATGTTTTGTAGCATCGGAAGTTTAACCATGGAAGTATACATTGTATTTTATTTTAAAATAGCTGCCGTCCCCGGATGTAACAGATCCGGCGGAACCTAAGTATAACGTGCACTTAACGAGTGAGGTATATATATATATATATATATATATATATATATATATATATATATATATATATATATATATATATATATATATCAATAAATAATTACTAACAATTAACTGGAAAATAATATTCCAAAATATCTTAAGTAAAGACTTTTCATGTCCAATCATTTTCATTTTTTTCTTTGAAATCGTTTCTTTCCCAAGAGCTACTTTTTCATAAAATACGAAACATTCAGTCCAATACTGACTCTCGGAAATTCATACTTTAACATTAATTCAGCCTTCATAAAAGAGAAAAATATGAATAAATATGAGTTTTAACAAACTCATGTTCTTATATTTCTATTCTGAAATCTTCTGCCAATTATTCTTAGTTTAAGAGAAACATAAAATTGTTAATTAAAGATTCATCATTAATTTGTATACTAGTTATCCAGTAAACAACATTTATTGTTTATTTTCTTTAGCACTTTATGCGTCATTTTAAAAAGTGATTAAATAATTAGAATTTTTAATATTTGGCATAAATGGGAACAACTCAGAAGATTACACAAAACCAATAAACTACTCAAGAATAAAGTAAAACGTTTAAGAAAAAGGTATTAAAAATCCCATATTGCGTAGAAAAATCAGCAAACAAGTAATGAACTAGATACAGTTTAATAAAAACCTCTCACTTTATTTTACACAGAATGAAGGAAAAACCACTTAGGTTTGCAATCACAAACCCGTATGTATCTGTGCCACCGACACCGTATAAGAACCTTCTTAGGATACCTCGTCGGTGTCTGTGCTACGGTCATGAATTTTTCTGTTTCATCGTGCGCAGGTTATATCGACTAACAAGATAACATACCGACAATCCTATTCCCACGATATCCATGTACAGTAGAAGCTCGTTTATTGCAACCTGTTTTATTGCAGCACAATAATTCCCCTCGATCACATGTATTTCTGACATACATGCGAGCACCCCACTCTCTCGCCCAGCAAGAAGGAACGGTTATATACGGTGTCGCATTTAACTCGCATATTTTTCATTACAGAAAGTGCGATGTACATAATATTGTTTTAATAATATATTTCAATACTCAATAACTGCCGCGAATAAATTTTTTTTGATATTTCTAAAAATATGGGGGATAGTAAGGTGATCAAAAAGTACGTACATCCAGCCCACCCTATAGTTAGTTACGTCGAAAAAGTGAACGGACGATCGACGGGAAGAATGCGCTTGTGATGGCACTCGTTTATTGTATAATTTTTGTAAATTTGGGTTTCTACAGCCCCGAAAGATGCAATAAACGAATGTCTACTGTACATACACTGGAAGCATGCTTCGACTGTGGTAGTAGCACAGTTTAGTTTGTGCTCAGAGTATACTGGTAAGTAAGTACCTGGTTATCTTGGCTGTGTCACAAAGTAGTCACGAGATAAGCCCATAGATTCAGTATACCGTATTACTGGTATATATCTCTAAGTATTTTAATATATTCGTTCATTTCCTCCATTTCTGACGATTAAAAAAAGATATGATATTAATGCCTAAATTTGCTTCCTTCCCTTCATTTGCTAAGACTTTGATTCAGAATACAAAAGATGCTTAGCTTCAGAGAGTTTTCGAAAGATGGTGGCAAGAACTTGATCGGCAGACTCGTGTTGTTATTGGTCGAGGTTTTTCGTCAATATCTCGTTAACGAAGCTTCGGATAACATTTTGCCAAGGAACTTGTTCCAAATCGCCTCACCAGTGTCTCATTTCAAGGACTTGTAACATTTTTGTTACGCCCTGTATATATGCCGTGTAGCAACTACTTTAAATTAAACAAAAAAACTTGTTTTTAAGCTATCTTTAAAAACTAACTGACAGTTTAACATTTTTAAACTGTCACCAATGCCATGTAAGTAAATGACCGGCCTTGATGCAAATCCCAAACGCTCTGTTTTGCTACCCGGTATCTGAATTTAGCGCAAGATTGCTCTTGCTTGCTTGATCGTCTTACAGTGTATCTTCGTCTTGGATCTTCTCCTTGTAATCTATTCCGAGTCACTTCTGCTGTTCTGTTATTCAGACAGTGATTTGATAGCAGCGCGTCGAGAGTAGAGGACTCAAACCGAGGCGAAAGATTGCGGCTTCCCCTATGATTGGGTACTAAGGCTTGGAAGCCATCATCGGAGCTTGCTTCACGGTTTGTACCACGTCTCTCGGAGACTCTCATTACTTTGCATCAGACAGAACACATTCCTCTTCTGAGAATATGACCGCTCTGATTCTGAATAATTGCTAAGGATATGCTAACCAGGGAGGTCGATGGAACTTTGATTACACCTATTCTTTAATTTAGGTATTTACTTCTAAACTGTAAGATAAGAAGATCTTGGTTTCATCATTCCTTACAAGTCTGATAATTGTTTGGTTTCATTGATCTCTTTCTTTGCATTTAGTGTAAATTATTTATAAGGTCAGTTTAAAGTTAAGAATGAAGACATCAATTTTAACGACAATGGTTCAATTTGTATTAATTTAGATTTAAA